TACTGAAACAGCTCTTCTTAGGGTCTCTAATGACCTTCTGACTCAGTGATGTAGGGGACTGTTCCGTTCTGGTCCTGCTGGACCTGACTGCAGTCTTCTACACTGTTGACCATCACCTGCTACTGGAGAGGCTGAGAGACTGGGTAGGCCTATCAGGAGCTGCTCTGGAGTGGTTCTCCTCTTATCTCTCTGAGCACTCCTTTTCTGTGGCCGTCTTAAAGTTTAGGTCCTCCACCACCTCCCGTACCCATGGTGTCCCACAAGATACTGTGCTGGGGTCTCTGCTCTTCCTCCTCTATCTACTTCTTTCTTTATGCAGATGACATCCAACTGTACATCTCCTTTAAGCCCCATGAGATGTCTAAGCTGCAGCTGTTACACACCTGCTTAGACTATCAAAACCTGGATGGCTGGGAGCTTTCTACAGCTGAATGAAGATAAGACTGAGATCCTCATCTGTGCCCCAGACAAGCTGGTTCCCAAAGTCAGAGACTCTCTTGGTCAGCTTGCTTCTCACAACAAACCTTCTGTCAGGAATCTTGGCGTCACCTTTGACCCAGCTCTCACCCTGGATTCTCATGTCAGTTCTCTTGTTCACTCTTCCTTCTTCCATCTCAGGAACGTTGCTAAGTTGAGTCCCATTCTGTCCCGCTCTGAACTTGAGACTGTTCTCCACACCTTCATCTCCTCACGCTTAGACTACTGTAACTCTCTTTTCACGTGTCTGAGCAGAACCTCCCTGAACCGTCTACAGGTGGTTCAGAACACCTGTGCTCGGCTTCTGACCAAGTCCCCCAAACACACCCACATCACCCCGCTTCTCCTCCAGCTTCACTGGCTGCCAGTCAACTTCAGGGTTCATTTCAAGATCCTGGTTCTGGTCTATAGGGCCTTACATGGACAAGCACCATCTTACATTGGTGATCTTCTTAGTCCCTACACCCCCAGCAGGTCCCTGTGGTCCAGTGATCAAAGCCTACTGGTTGTGCAGCGCACCAGGCTTAACCCTTTAAGCGCCAAAGTCGCAGAATTGCGACATGCAGCAATGTTGGATTTAATAAGCCACAGCAGCAGAAATGAGCCCTCATGCAGTTAATACGTTACACTGCGGGGTGGCGGACACCTGTAACTTCAATCCAAGCAGCATTTGTGGGTGTGTCACTCTTCAAACTTGGGAGTATTTAGAGCTTGAACCCCGCCCACCATTCGCAGAGTCGCGAGGTTGTCAGAGCAGTCAGATCGAGTGAGAGCGAGCGAGTGGTAGATGAAAAAAACACAATGCCGAGAGGATTGTTCAGTGCTGATGAAGCTCTTCGTCTAGTACTGGCAGATTCGGATTCAGAGGAAGAATATTTCCTTTTCGAGGATGATCTGCGGTCTTCTAGCGAGACGGAAAGCGTGGCTTCAGCGCGCAGCAACAGGGAGCCTGTCAGCGATGACGCGGTTACACAAGCAGCCCATCCAGCCCTTACCTTGTCCGATGTCCTGCGTCACCGTGTGTGGGGTCTGGGGAAGAGATGTTGCGGGGGGGGGGGGGGGGCTCGAGCATCTCAAGTTTCTGTAAGTTTCTTTGGATGAGGAATTCTGGACCCTCATCACAACTGAAACTAACCGATATGCTCACCAGTATGTAGAGAAAGAGGAACTGAAATCTACCTCCAGATATAATGACTGGTATGATGCAACTGTCCCAGAAATTAAAGCGTTCACTGCCATTCAGTTCTGCATGGGGGCTTGTGGAAAAGCCTGAGATTGATGATTATTGGGCTGGCTTTTGTCCAACATACACACCTGGCTTCAGCAAAGTGATGTCACCAAACAGATTTGAGATCATCCTTTCTTTCCTCCACTTTGTAAACAATGATGAGCGTGTTGAAAGGGGTCAGCTGTCAGCACACACTGGTTTCTCTATTTCTCGAAACCCAGAATATTATGTATATACATACATAGTTATATATGTCTACATAGGACTATGTATATATGTATCATTAACAATAACAACACTAAGAAAATAAGACAAAAACATTAGAAAAATTAAAAAAATCTGCAAATGTGATGCAATCCAATATGGCTGCCACCTGATGATGTCATAATATGCTAATTATGTGAGTGAATTTGTTCCTATCACAAAACTTGGCTCATACTGAAAATTTTTCTAATTTACAATATTCCTCTATCTCTAACCAGATTTAAGCTACAACTCTTTAAATAGTGATATAAAAAATTCATATTTTATTGAAAAACTGTGGCGACTAAAGGCTAAAGACCAAAGGTGACAGATCATTTGCTGCTGTGGCCCCCAGAGTCTGGAACTCTCTCCCCCTGAGCCTGAGATCAGTGGACTCCTTTAAAAAGCAGCTGAAGACTCACTTGTTCAAGCTGGCTTTTGTATGACCTTCTTCACAACTCTCTCTTTATTCTGCTCTCCCCACCTATTCCACCTTCGTCAGGATCCACTGATTTCCCTCTTTCCAACTGTCTGTTTTTTGCTCATTTTAAATATATATTTTTAACCATTTTCTAAATTATTTTTTATATTTTTACATTTTTTGTTTTTGTGAAGCGCCTCGTGATTTTTATCGAGAGGCGCTATAGAAATGATATTTTCTTCTTGTTTCTTCTAAAGCCGATGTTCATCCACATACGTCACACGTCACGTGATCAGGAAGCAGAAAATCCATGTGTTAGATCGTTTTGGGCCGTTCCTGTAAAAAAAGTGAGGCGAGAACCGGAAAAGCTTCAGCTGATCACAATTCAACAACGGATTATGAAAGAACATATAAAGCTCGAAAAGCGTGGATTCTTCCTGATGTAAGAGGTGAGTCTCTGCGTTGTTTTGGTTGTTTTTTGCGTTGAAATCATCCTAGCACGCAACGTTCTGTGACTCTCAAACCACTACCTATTAAGTTTAAGAAATCTCAAATCCATAAAAACCTATTTCCTACTTCTGCAGTTGTTAAAATATAAAAATAAATTAAATTAGTAACAAATAGCTGTTGACACCTTTAATTTCAATGATAACTAGTATATAGAATAATATTTGCACTAGGATGAATTATTTTGTTGCTATCTAAAATAGGAATAAGGCTACAAAAAGGTGTGATTGAGAAAAGTTCAAATGGCCCATCACACAGACGGGTCATGCTTCTGCTCGCAGACTGATACCATGAATAACAAGGTGCTTCATTAAATATTTAGAGACATAATTTAGCTTTGTTTCCTTTTACTTTAGCGAAATGCAGCAAAAGCTTTGATTTATTTTTTCTTCAGCTCCAAGTCCACCACCTCGGAGGAGTTTTGCAAGATCCGGTCAGGTGATGTGCTGCAGCGGGAGGAACGAAGCTGCAGCTCTGTAGCAGGGACATTTTACTGGGAAAGTACAAGAACCCCGGCTGTCATAAAAGCTTGTGTGGGGTGTACCAATCTGAGGAGTATGAGAGGGTGATCATGATCTTTGGTTGATTTAACAACACGTTGTTTAGTGGTTTCAATTTTGATAAGATTGTGTTCTGGGACACAACCGAGTCAAGTAGAAAAGGTTGTTTAGAAGTTATGTTTTCTTGTTTACAGTGTTTAAGCTGCACATGTTTCACACCAAAGCAGATGGTAGGACAATGCAGCAAAGCAAGATTCTTGCAGTTATTCATGTTTGTAAGCTGCAATTTTAAAAATGTGTGATTTTCTTTCTTTTAGGATGCCTTTATACTTCTATTTAACTTTGACCAAACTACTCAGAACGTACAGGCAGATCTACTGATCTTAAAGAGAGATTGCAGCCCTAAACAGTATTGATAACTAATTTACAAAATGTTTTCACATTTTTAAAAACAAACATAAGTATGTTGCTCTCCTCCATGTTTAGGAACACACACAGACCAACTGTGAAGCATGTGAGAAAAACATGGTAGATGTGGTGCTATGTTTACTAAATGTGAGCCATTAAACGTCTTTGTGCCAATACTTCCGGTACATCCGCACACACGCCCCCAAACACTCGGAATGACCAATCAGCGAGGATAACACACACACACACACACACACACACGCACACACGCACACACACACAGTGATTTATTAACGGCTGCGACAGGATGTCAAAACTTCCCGTTTTTAAATTTAACCTAATTTAAGGCAATATGTCGAGAACTATATTAAAAACTGCTAAATTACATACTACTGAAGGCTAAAACTACATTTAAATACTGGAAAGTCTTTATACGAAATGTATTTTGTGTTAATTTTAACAAACCTTAATCGCACATGAAACGTGAGAAAAGTTGCCATTGGTGCGTTTGTTTACATTAATGTTTGTGACGGTGACACGTTGACTTACAGCCACGCAGCTAGCACGAGGCTAACTTATTAGCACTAAGCCCCGTCGAAATAAAATACGACTTTGACTTGCAGCAGCTACGAAACATTTACATAACGGACGTTTTAATTTTTTTGTCTTTACATATAAATGATTTAATATTGCTGTTCAGCTTTAAATAAACATTCACCAAATAGCTTGATCAGCGCGTGCTATATATGTCAATGGCTACAACAGGCCAAATAGCATGAGCTAAGTTAGCCAAGAGCTAAAACAGAGTTGGAATGATTCATTTGATTTGTGGGTTGCAGTTACGCTGAGAGTCTTGGAGAGTAACAAAACAAATTAAATCTAATTTTCACAAAAGACATAAGGGTATTTTTTATATTACGCTTTGCAATCGTTTTTACGCACTCCGACACGGTGTAATGATAAACTTTGTGTCACCCCTAAAATGTCTCCCATTTTTCCTGTTAATGTGGAGTAAGCTAAACTAAATGATTAACAAAACTATAACTAACTGAGCTTATTCAACTACATACATGCTCTTTGAGTAAGACATCATGCTAATTCAAAAAGAAAAAAATTTTCACACCATGCGCTCTAATGTTGTGTACAAACTTTGCAAAGCTCTGCAGAATATCGAGCCTCCGTATCTGCTATGCTAGCTGCTGCTGCTACTACTTACTCTCTGGGCAGAGGCAGCGGCGGCGCCCCTCTCCGCTGGAACACCCCATCAACAAACACGCCATTCTTGCCCAGGCACCGCAAGGAGAACCCGCTCGATTCGTCGTAGATGATCTGCAGGTGTCGCCTTGAAATGAAGCTCGAGTGACCCATGTTGATGTCCACTGAGCCATGGGACGAGTTCCGGCCTACGGTGACCGTCCTCTGGCGCATAACAAACTCAAAGTCTCGGCCCTCGAGCCTCGCCAAAGCCTGCGGTGGAGTAGAAGAGAGCCTCACCGGAAACATGCCACCGGCATCTCCGCGAGCATCCATTCTCGGAGGACCCAAGAAGGGCAGCGAGGGCTGAAGATAGGCGTGAGAGGTCACTGCAACACGCACGGGGCTGCACGGCGCCGACTGTAATGCAAGCAGGGCTCGAGCTCCGGTGTCGTCCCGGTAGTCTGCCATCTTCTATCAGAGAGTCACACTCAGACAACTTTACTTGTCAGACAGAGTTGCAACGTGAGAGTTTTCGCTCACAACACTTGATCGCTGCGAGGCTGACGGAACAACATGGAGTCCCGTCGGGTCAATTAAAGACCCGGAGTGGATTCCACTGGAAGGATGATGCGTTCAGGACCCCTTTGTAAAAAATACTTATTTAGTATTATTACGAACTGTCCAACATCACTAAACATGTTTTCTGCTGAAATGCCTACAACAAGTAGGAAGGAGATCCGATTAGTTGCTCTGCCAGTAAAGGATTTATTTATTGATTTATTTGCCTCAAAAAGCGTTTATTTTATATTGCAGCTATAATTTCTTTTGCACTCACCATATATCAAGTAAACTTTGTGTGAGTCTAAAACAATAATCTCAAACTTAAGAATTCACCCATCTATTTTATCAGGAGCCATCACCAAACACACCATGTCAGACACATGATGTGCTCCTTTGGATCATTCTTCTATATTTTCATTTTTTCCGTTACTATTGTAGCTTATGTTCTGTTTATTTTTTCATGGAAATTGCTAAATATTATATAAAACACACACACTTTAGATAATGCATAAAATACAATGAAAACATCAATGAGTTTCAGATTTGGTAGCTTTAGGGAATATTGCAGGCTATGTAATAATCTACAGATCAGCAGCATTTGTGGAAGTTGTCACAGTTTATTTTAGAGATATAAAAAAAATCTGCCTCGGTCATGTTGGCTGTACAAATGAAACTTCACTTATTCCTGTGTTGTCAGCACGGATTCGTGACGTTTACGTCTCTGAACGCCACATCCAGACCTGGTAGTTCAGCCACAGTTCATGTTTTCTCACTTTGTAACTCAGTTACAGGGAAAGGTTTGAAACATCTGAAACATTCATTTTAAAAAAATGCATCATTTATTTTAATGTTATCCCTAACTTACCTCAGGTATGATTTATTTTTGTGTAAACAAAGCTAAAAACATTTTAAATAAAAAGTTTAAATGATGAATATGATGATGATAGAATGTTTACTGATAATAAACGTATGTAATTTTTATATATCTAGAGTAAATTGCAAATGATCTTAGCTTTAAGCACTTCTGGTGTCTGCAGGAGCTGGTTTGCTCACCTCGTTTTTCTTTTCTTTTCTTTTTTTTTCTTCTTTTTTTCTGTTTCTCCTCTCTCTGTGTTTATAAACATAGAAAGAACAAGTTGTTTAACAAATCTGGAGTGGATCTCCAGAGCATCGGGAGCACAACAGAGGGATCAATGAAATAAAACAAAGTGTCCATAGGTGACGCTGTTGGCGTACAAACATCTCCAGTTGCCCGATCCTCAGCCTGAGAGGTGCAGAAGTCTCATTGGCAGTTGCAGGAATCGTTTGATTGCAGTGTTTGCCTCAAAAGGTTGTGCCACAAAATATTAAGTTAGGAGAACCATCATTTTTTGTTCAGGCCTCTTCCATGAGTTTATTTTTTTAATAAATCTATTGAAGCATAGTTGAAAAGCAATGACTGACTTTCATTAGTTAACTTTCCTAGAATTTGTATTTATTATTACTTTTGTCAGGTTGAAGTTGTTTCTGTGACCATTGTGGGTTTGCCTTTCATTGATCAAAGGGTACCAAGAATTTTGTCCACATCTGTAGGCTCTTTATTACTCTTTGATTATCGTGAAATAAACATAAACAAAACATAATGAATGAACCAGAAATGCGTCTTTATATTAAATTAATTCTATAGGGAATTCTAATAGTAGTTTCAAATTAAAAATTGCTTGAATTTTGTGTATAATTTCCATTAATAACAAATTATTTGTGTGTAATTTTGCAGATGTTATTAAGTGTATACTTGAAAACAATAATTTTTGTGGTGATTGAAATGAAAATGCTGCCTAAAATTGCTGCACATTTTAAAAAATGTTCTGTTAAATGTTTTCTCCTAAAGCGTCTTTAGTCTAATTTAACAGTTGACAGACCAAAAATATGACAGACAAATTTTCAAATATGCAACTCATTGTGTCCCTGTCTTAATTCAAACTAGAAAAATTGCATTTATTGCACAAATGCTGTTTGAATGCTAGATAGCTGAAACTGTAAGATGAAGCTGCTGAACAGCTGAACTGAAGCTGAAATTAAGCAAAACTGTCAAAATGAGCTAAATGTCTTGAAAGATGTAGAAGCAAAAAGTACCAACAAGCAAATAAAGCACAAAAAGTAAGTGAAGAATAGAGAAAAATAATGCTAAATAGCAAAAAAAAAAAAAAAAAAAAAAAAAAAAAAAAAAACTTAAATCTGTGAACATAATATAAAAATCTGGACAGCTTAAATGTCTAAACACCTGTTATTTCAGTTTGCCAAGTTTAACAGTTTAATCTTTACATTTAGCTGAACTGTGAAATTAGCAGTTTATGCTAAATTTGGTAACTGATTGCTGAAGTTGTTGAATAGCTGAAGTAAGCTAAAACTAAGCTAAACTGTCAAATGAGCTGAATGTAGTGAAAGATGTGAAAGCAAAAAGCACCAAGAAGCAAAAAAAGCACAAAAAGTAAGTGAAGAATCAAGAAAACTAATCCTAAATAGCAGAAAACTCAAATCTGTGAACACTGTTTAAAAGATTGGACAGCTAAAATGTCTAAACACCTGTTATTTCAGTAGGACTAGTTTAACAGTTTAATTTTTACATTTAGCTGAACTGTGAAATTAGCATCATATGCTGAATTCAGAAACTAATTGCTGAAGCTGAAACTAAGCTAAACTGTTAAAATGAGCTGAATGTTTTGAAAGATTTAGAAGCAAAAAGCACCAAAATGTAAATAAAGCACAAAAAGTGAAGAATGGAGAAAACAATCCTAAACAGCAGAAAAATTTGAATTTTCTCAAACAAATGAACCGTACGACCACAATGTTTAGAGTACAGTCATGAATTATAGCTCAAAACAAAGGTATATTCGTTAGCTGTAAGCCAGTGTGTGTCTCATTTCAATCGGACCTACGGTTCTCTCGGTACAATGCCAGAAATGGAGCAAGGGAGGGTCACTGCTCCTATCTTTCCCCATTATAACTTTTGTGAATTTTTCTGAAAATTTCATGTCGTACCTCAACTTCTACCTGCGATTTTAGGAAAACCGTAAAATATATCAAAAAGCCTCTTTACTATGGTAAACAGGAAAGTCTTGTGAGTTTGTTAAACTTTGAATGAAGTCTCTGAGTTAAAAGGAACCCAATAGAGTTTTAGGTCAAAAAAGTGATAGGAATTTGCTGAAAATTGACCAATCGCATTCATTTCAATGGGAAAGTTTTTCGCAGAAAAAGCTTAATAACTCGAAAAATTTTAAAGCTATCAATGCCAAAAGTAATAGCCAGAAAGAGCTTAACGAGAACGTTTTGATATAAAATTGTTGAAATAGCTCAAAATTTGAAGGAGAAAAAGAGGTTCAAAAAGTGTACGGAAGCAGAATAAGAAGAAGCAGAAGAATAAAGAAAAACAGGAAAACAATAGTTTGAATGCAACAGGAGTACAGCTGCTGGCCTCCAACAGCCAGGGGAAAAGGCGGAAAACAGTGCTGCTCTCTGATTGGTTGAGACTGTTCAACCATTTTCTGTCCAATCAGGATCCAGCACCCACACATATTACACATCAAATTGACCAGTTTGGTCTCAGGAATCTTGTATTCAATTTTGCGTTATCTGTTACCATGGCAACACAAGGAACTACATATCACTTTAACCAAGTCTCATAGGAATGCATATTAAAAAGCTGAATATTGAGCCAATAACAGACTCCTGTTTTGATCTTTTTGAACTATCTGTACTTAAAACTAGAAACAAGTTAAATTTGATTGACCGTCAGAAGGTGGGAAAGTGCCCCGCTCCCACCCAGCCCCCTGATTGGTTGAGAGAGGCCAATCATCTTCTGGCTAAATGGAATTACACACCCACACATGTGAGACATCAAATCGATCGGCTAGGCCTAAGGAATCCATCCATCCATCCATCCATACAAACAAACAAACAAACAACCAACCAACCAGCTCTATACACTTAAAACTAGCAGCATAGCTGACATTTTAACACTAGTCAGAAGGCAGGAACCGCCCCTCCTCCTTCGCTGCTCTCTCATTGGCTGAGAGTATTCATTCGTCTTCTGCCTAAAAGGAAATGTGCACCCACACATATGGTACATCAATTCAACCTGCTTGGTCCCAGGAGTCATGTATTAACTTGATATTGTGTTCTGCGTTACCATGGCAACGTGCTTAGCAACAACCTTTAACAACATTTTAGACATAACTGTATCAACATACTTTAATATAGAAATGTTATTCAAAGTTTAAATGAATCATGTGTTATTGTACATAGCTTTGTTAATGCAGACTCCTGTCATCTGTTACCATGGCAACACAAGGAACTACAAATCACTTTAACCAAGTCTCATAGGAATGAATATAAAAAGCAGAATATTGAGCCATTAACAGACTCCTGTTTTTGATCTTTTTGAACTGTTTGTACTTAAAACTAGAAATAAGTTCAATTTGATTGACTGTCAGAAGGTGGGAAAGTGCCCCGCTCCCTCCCAGCTCCCTGAGTGGTTGAGAGAGGTCAATCATCTTCTGGCTGAATGGAATTACACACCCACGCATGTGAGACATCAAATCGATCGGCTTGGCCTAAGGAATCCATCCATCTACATATAAATCCATACATGCTTCCATCTATCCATCCATCCATCCATCCATCCAATAAACCATCTAACATCCATCCAACAATCCATCCGTTATTTCATTCGTCCAACAATTCATCCATCCCACATCAAATCTGAACATATTTTAATATATCAGTTTCAGATATCAGCAAATATTTCTAAATTCACAGTTCAGCCAATTGTAAAAATGTACCCGTTAAACTATTCTCATTCAAATGCCAGCTGTTTAACATTTCAAATTTCGAGTTTTTAATAAATGTTCAAAGATTAAAGTTTTCTGCTGTTTAGCATTTTTTATCCATTCATCGCCAATATTCTGAGCTTTATTACACTTGTTGGTGATTTTTGCTTCTAAATCTTTAAATACATTCAGCTCATTTTGACAGTTTTGCTTTGTTTCAGCTTCAGTTGTTCAGCAGCTTCAGCCTACAGTTTCAGCTATCCAGCATTCAAACAGCATTTGTGCAACAAATGCAATTTTTCTAGTTAGAGAAGCCTTTAAATCTGTCCTTCAGAAGTGAAATTGGACCTGTCAAACTTCTCATCACCATTCGAAAAGTACTGCACCGAATTGAAAAATTCAAAAAGCGTAAGCGGCAGAAGACTTTGCTGGTCATCTGTGCCAATTTTTATGTGCCTACCATGAATTGTCTAGAAGCTATGACGAGAAACTTTTAGCTGTCTGACGCCGATCAGAGGAGAAAATCTCTGTTCCTTTAACATGGGTTTCAATGAGGGAAAATCTGGGTATCTCCTTTTTCTGAGGCTTGTAGCGAAAGAACGGTAACACTCACAGATACAATGAAAGCCATTCTGAAAAGCTGACAAAAATTCCTACTTTTTGAGTTATAATTTGTTTTGGTAGTCCAAACGGCAGAAGATGTGAAATTCAAAAGTTAGAGTGCAGAATTTTCAGTTTAGAGTGGTGAGAGACATTTTTTTAAATTTGAATTTTCTCAAACAAATGAACCGTACGACCACAATGTTTGGAGTACAATCATGAATTATAGCTCAAAACAAAGGTATATTCGTTAGCTGTACGTCACCGTGTGTCTCATCTCAATCGGACCTACGGTTCTCTCGGGACAATGCCGGAAATGGAGCAAGGGATGGTCACTGCTCCTATCTTTCCCCATTATAGCTTTTGTGAATTTTTCTGAAAATTTCAAGTCGTACCTCAACTTCTACCTGCGATTTTAGAAAAAACCGTAAAAGATATCAAAACGCCTTTTTAATATGTTAAACAGGAAAGTCTTGTGAGTTTGTTAAACTTTGAATGAAGTCTCTAAATTAAAAGGAACCCAATAGAGTTTTAGGTCAAAAAAGTGATAGGAATTTGCTGAAAATTGACCAATCCCATTCATTTCAATGGGAAATTTTTCGCTGAAAAAGCTTAATAACTCGAAAAATTTTAAAGATATCAATGCCAAAAGTAATAGCCAGAAAGAGCTTAACGAGAACGTTTTGATATAAAATTGTTGAAATAGCTCAAAATTTGAAGGAGTAGAAGAGGTTCAAAAAGTGTACGGAAGCAGAAGAAGAAGAAGAAGAAAGAAAGAAAGAAAGAAAGAAAAACAGGAAAACAATAGTTTGAATGCTTAACAGCATTCAAACAATTAAAACCCCTCTATGAACTTTGAACCTAATCAGTTCTCAGGTGTGTCCTCGAAGAGGAACTCATTTTGCTTTTTGCCTATTTAAACACCATTTGGAGTACTTGAAATCCTAAAATGTGTTTTATTCATTTTGTGAAATATTAACGGTGCTTTGTATTGTTTCCCTTGTATAAAAAAACATTTGCAGATGAGTTTTTTTGTGATTTTTAGCGAATTATGTCATCAACTTGTTAAAGAAAGTTAAAAAAAGTGTCTCCTTGTCTCTGCCTTACAGGAGTGTGGTGGTAATCCTTGTTCCTCTTTTCAAAAATCAACATATGAACATAAAAACACACACAGAACCAAATCTAATTACTGTTTCAGGTTTTAGAAATGTTTCACTTGTCACTTTATTCTGAATTAAGTCATACAAAACTACACAGCTGTTCTGCTTTACTAGAAAAAGAACAAAAGAAAAACTGACATCAAGTTTTTATACAGAGAAGAAATGTAAGCATCACAAACAAAATAAGGATGAATGATTTTGTTCCTGTTTTTGGACGTCTAAGAGCGAGGCGCCAGCTTCAGTTTGATGGGCCGTTTGGGCATGAGCAGACCCTGGATGTCCATCTCAATGGGGATCTGTCAGGAAATTAAATGTAGGGACATAAAACGTCAACAAAGCACAAAACCAACGCTTTACGTATTATTTCAAATCTTCAAACAACAGGAGGCAGCAGAGATGACAGAAACATGAACCTGACACATGGCTGGTTACAGAGGTTATTCTTCATACAGGTATCAGTACACAAAGATCAGCACCTTGACCTTTGCACTAGCAGAGATAAATCCTGTGCTGTTGTATAACACTACTCTAAATGTCTGTGTAATTACCCATGACTCATGTTTGCTCAGGACCCGCCGTGCAGGAAGCAATAACAGGCAGTGTGAAGATGTAACTGTGGGCTCACCTCGGTCTCCTTGCAAACGGAGAAGCTGTACCGCTGGAGGATCTCCACTATGGCCAGTTTCATCATCACCAGAGCAAACCGCATCCCAATGCAGTTCCTAGGCCCTGCCCCGAAAGGCATGTACGTGTACGGGTCGATTTTCTCCTTGTTGGCCTTGCTGAATCTAATTGCACAAAAGTACACAAGTGTGTAAAAGTGCAGATGTGGAGAAGATGTGTACTTTTAAAAATGTAATGATTATTTTATCTCTGACTCACCTCTCAGGTTTGAATTTCTCAGGTTCGGGCCACAGTTCGGGGTCCCGGTGAATGGGCCACGTGGGGACCAGAACCACCATGTCTTTGGGGATCAGAAGACCGTTTATCTCCACACTCGCCTTGGCAACACGCTCCAGACGCGGGGCAATGGGGTAGATACGCAGAGACTCGTTGATGACGCAGTCCAAATACTCCATCTCCATAAGAGCCTGGTACTCAATAGGAGCCTGCAAACACAAACACACCTGTTTACACCACGACATCGATAATTATGGATGAGAGATGCAGAGAGAAGAAAGCACCTTGTGCAGACAGGATTTAGATGGTAAAAATACTGTTTTAATGTGAGGAAGGGATTGTCCAAAATCTAATGAAAGCAAAGTTAAAGTTTCTACTTTTCAAATTTTGTGTCCCACCACCTCAAACATACCTTGTTTGGGAAGGTGGCATCGATCTCCTCCTGGAGCTTCTTCATGACCTCTGGGTTTGTAGCCAGACTGTGAGCCAAGAAGGTGAGAGAGCTGCTGCTCGTTTCATAGCCAGCAAAAATGAAAATCATGGACTGTGAGAGGATCTCATGATCATTTAAACCTGTAGGAATTAAAGAGATGTTGAGATTGGAATACCTTTAAGCGGTGTGTGTGCATGTGTGTGTATGTGTGTATCACCTTTGTCCTGCTGCACCCCGGTGGGGTCGTTGTGTTTTTGGGAATCAATCATCAGCTGGAGGAAATCTACTCGACCCTAAAAGTAAAGGAGAGCAGATGGGATCGTCTCTCTGGACTAGTTCATGTAAAGATTTGATTAAAATCTCTTTTTGTACCTGCTTCTTGCTGCTGTCTCGATTAGACTTGATCTTTTGCAGAGAAGAATAAAAGAAGTCTGTCACCGAAGCAGGGAAGAAGGAAAGCTCCATTTTTTCAAAAATGGGACCAAGAAAGGGGAAGAAAGCTGAAATTGGATATAAATTTGCAACAAAAAAAAAAAGAAAAAGAAAAAAAAGAAAGGTGAGCTTTAATTTATGGCTTCAACTTTAAAAAAGGATTAAAACAAACCCAAGTTAAACTTAATGTCTACTCTGCACATTGGTTTATTTTGGTAAAAGAAAATTCTTTAGTTAGTCTTAAGATGGATTTGAACCATAAACCAGTTTAAAAGCTAGCATTCTTCCTTTACTCAAGTAAACATTCACTCTAATTTAAACTTATCAAATGTGCCAATCATCATAAAACGTTACCGATAGCAAGGAAGAGAGGGTTGAACAGGTCAAACTTCAGCATCTTCTTGATGTTTGTGACAAAAGGGTCAGATGGATTGTTGAGGGAGTCGATGTCCACGCTGAAGGCTGTGCTGGTAACCACATCCATGCTGTAGGGGCCAAAAAACCTGTTGGTGCACACAAGTGTTTATATAAAACCTCCTAAGCAACATTTATTAATTTTCTGACTTCATCATAAAGTGTTCATACTCTTTCAGTTCTAACGGTTCATCCTTGTCCGCCATCTTCTTCATGCTGCTGGTCAGATTTGCAGAATGTTGCTTCATTATGTCAAACATCTGAAGAGTGCACGGACAGCAAAACACAGTAATAATAATCACAGGTCACATGTCTATGAAAAAAGGAAGTGAGCCAAAAAAATCAGCCAGCACCCAAATGCAAGTTTTCAACCAGTGGCACCTCCAAGGGGTAGCTAGAGGGGGGGCATGTCCACCCCTGGAAAATTGTTGGTCACCCCACTGGCCACCGCAAGAAAGACAACCACCCAGCCCCTGTTAATTAATAACACTGACCTTCTATAATTAAGACAGAAATGTTAAAGCCAATGAATCAGTTATTGCAATAACATGTATTAAATAATTTTTTAATAAATCACAATTTAAATGTGTATGTTACTGCTCATCATTTTTTTTTAAAGTACAAAACCCAATATTTTTGTGGATGTTCTTGTTGAAACAGCAACAGGCAAATTAAACTTTTAAAACTCTAGAATGACTAAATTTGAAACAAGAACTCAGATAACCAAGGGAAATTTAGTCTTTTTCTGAAATGATTGTTTCTCAAAACTTAGGGGGGAAAATCATACCATACCACTTTATCTATCAAGCGCATTTCCAAACAGCTAGGATCTGACCAAAGCGCTTCACTTATAGTACAGGAAAATAAAATATAAAAGGACAATCAGCAAAGCATAAAAAAGCCACATAAGATAAAAACCAATAAACCACCAACGTGGCTATTGTATAGTCATAAAACCTAATAAAAATACAAATGAGAACACCTAAGGCCTGATTTATACTTCTCTGTCAGCTCTGCAACGGAGAGACGCACACGGAGTGTTGGAAAGGTTTTCACATGCAAACTTTTGCACAGGCAGCGGAGCGTTGTAAAGCAATTCCCCCCAGGACAGCAGGGGGCGTGGCAATTTTCTGTGGTATCATGCCACCATAACACTCATGTATCCGGTTCACGATAGTGTATTTACTATTGTGTTCATGTATTTCAGAAACTTAATAACTTGGACAAATTTGTCTTTCATTCTCCTCCATCTCTTCCTGCAGTCACCTCCTCTAAACCTATGTTTCCCGTCATTTCCATTCATGTTTGCTTCGTATTTTGTACTCCTTCAGTCACGGGTGGACAAACGTTCATATTTTCGGACGTTTTCCGCAGTGCGTCCTTCAATCTGTTCTGGGTCTGCCGCTAAATACCAATTAACTTTTTAATGGTGCTGTTGACAAATTTACAGGAAGCGGTGTCCTGACCAATCAAAAGCTTGCTGTTTCCATCACTTTTGACAGATGTTTAAAATTTTTGGCATGTCTCCATCACCCTCTGTGAGCCCGTCAGAGAGCCCTTGTGTCGACGCATAATGAGGTTGCGTGTCTCTGCACCAACGCAGAAGAAGAAGTATAAATCAGGTGTAAAAGATGATTTAACAAGAACCAATTCATGGTTTATAAGCTAAGTAAATAAAAGTATTTTTCGATCTGGCCGCAATGGATGTTGACCGTTGGACTGTAACAGGCAATTGCATAGACCTCTTGAAATTTTTATTTATTTATTTATTTATTTATTTATTTATTTATTTATTTATTTATTTTTATGGAAAAGAATGATGGAGCAAGTCTAAAATTCAGGCAAAAATCTTCCCTGAATTACCACAGGGACCAATTTAGTGGGCCACCCCAAAATGTTCACTGGCCCCATTTTGCCCCCCATGAAAATTTTCTAGGGGCGCCACTGTGCCGAGCCAAAATAATATTCAGTTTACTGAATGTGGTTTTAGCTCAATTAAAAGAGCTCACCTCTTTCAGCCTTCCTGAGGTAAAGGAAGGAGAGAGGACACTGCGGATCCTCCTCCACTGATCGTCCTCTGCAATGGACACGGCGTCATACAGGGGTCCATTCAGACGGAAGTTCTGTAATATCAAGAAAAATCAGCTTAAAATCAAAAAAGCCTCAAATCACATAATCTGGGTGTGTTTTGTGTGGCGGTGATTGCATACCCTGCGGTTGGTGAAGAGGGAGTAGCACTCCTTAATCAGAATGGATTTAATCATGGCGGGGTCAGCGATGCACAGCACTGGCTGGCGGCCATCATAGATGCTGGAACACACAAGAATAGGACGAACAACAGAGGAGACAGAAATGAATGAGTGAAGTTGTCATGTTTCACATAAATACCAGTAAATCAAATAATCAGACTGTTGTTTAGAAGCTTACATGGTAGAAAACTTTAAGTAAACATGCTGAAGTGAAAAAACAACAACTTACCCCCATATTTTCCCATATTTCTTATAGCAGTTTTCATCAAAGTTAAAAAATCCCTATGAAGACAAACACGTTTAGATAAAAACACTAATGATAGATTATATTGATTATTATTTATTAATTTATCCATCCTTAATACAACTTTGAAGGTTTAAAATTGTATTTTTACAAATATTTCGGTCAACATTGTGTCATCTTCCTAGTTAGAATCATACAGAATAAATCATAGACATGAATACGTAGACGCCCCATTGGGCGCTGGACAGCATAACAGCATCACCGCCATATTGAGTGGGTTGAACTACAATGGGGTCAGGTAATAAGTATTTCTTCACTGTTATATAAAGTCTAATCTCAAAAAGACATTAGCGGTTCATGCGTATGTTATTCTATAAGCCTTTACACTAGAGGTGTGTATTAGCAAGAATCTGGCATTACAATAAATATCAAAATACAGGGGAGATGGTATGACATATCGTGATACAAAAAGCTAGATGATATTAGCAGTTTTTACATTTTTAAGACTGAAATTAATTGGAAAACTCAAGATGTTTCCAAAACACATCTAGTGTGATTGTGCGATCTCCTGGTTCCTACAACTACTGCCACCTAGCAGTCGGAGTTTGAATTTCACCAAACAAAAACGTTATATTCTCAATAAAATAAATTGATACATTGCTTTTAAATATTTACATGATTTACACAAAATATTATGATTTTTCAGTGTACTGCTATTTTCTTACATCGCTACTTTACACCATGATAAATTTGACATCACTTGGTTGTTTACATAAAATGCTGTTGTTGTTTTGCAACAACAGGGAAATGGATTGGGGAATGTCCAAACAGATTTGTTCTGGCTGTAATTTCATAACAATTCTGCTGCAATAACAATTTAATATGAAATTTATCACAACACAAGGAAATAAAATATCATTCAGAGGTTCATAAGCTTGGAGTTGTTTAGAGACACTTTGTAACTAAACCTATTCTTATATTTGATCAAATTTATTCTCTGTTTCTCTAAACTGAAGCTGTTCAAAGAGTTGTATGCTGATTGTTTTCACTAAATTTCCACAGAAATGATCTCATTCTATCTTCTATAGAGCAGAAAAATAAACTCCCACCTTTCGATAATGCAGCATAGTGCCAAAGAAGGGGATGGGTTTGGGACCAGACACACCAAGATTTTTAAATGCCCTGTAGGGCCAGTAGGCATAACTGGGGAAAACAACAAATATGGGTGAAAATTCATAGATAACAGAAGGGGGCTGAAAAATGTAAGTCATTTAGAAACATTCAGATTATTTTATACTCACAGAATGAGCAGCGTGACAAAAGCAACCAGCAGGGTCCATGTTTCCGCCGAGAGGTAGAAGCTGCCCATCTCTGCAGGTTTAGTCTCTTCAGTGGTAGCACCAGCCTTTGTGGAGCTTTCAGTCCTGACCCGAGGCTTTTAAGTCTGAGCAGACTTGTTACGTGAGAAGAGGAAGTGTGTGAGAGTTGAACCAATAGCAGCCAGGAGTGTCGGGTGAATGTTTGCCTAAGAACGCTAGCAGCTTAATAGTTGTATCAGATCATCAATCTGAAATTCTGTAATCTGAACTAAATTATTATACAGCCTGTGTAGGGGATGACACGGCAAACAAAAGCTGCATCATAACAGCACAAAGCAATCAGTTATTTACTTTCAAATGAGCTTTTATTCGTGTGTGCTATTTGTTCTGAGTTATCCAGGAATATAAGACCAGTGAAAATGTAAAAACAATTAAAACTCAAATCCAAAGTGTAAAAGTTGGAGGTTTAATCTTTATATCAGTCTTTTAATTTGTTTTATTTCTACTGATTTAGTTTAGATTTCACTGGGCTCACACAGAAACACGTCCAGACATGTTTTCATTAGACAGAAACTACTTACTGTAGTTCCCTGAAGGATTATGTAACAGTTATCAGAAAACACACCCTCTGTTCCAAACTTCCTGAACAGAACCTGCTGCTCCTTGGCCAACTCACACAAAAGAAGCTTGTTTTTGTCTCGTTAGAAACTCTGCTGGTATTCTTTATTTACATGTTTTATTAGGAATGTGTTCAAGCTAAAGGAGTAGGTGTACATTCTTAATATTTTTCATCATCATCATCATTGTCTTTATTTCTACAGCACTTTCCATCATCCAAGAGGTGAACCAAAGTGCTGCACATGTACAAAAAAATTTGGCCACCAATAAATTATTCAAAAACAAACAAAAACATGAAACAAAAGCAAAGAATGTCAGTAAAAAACACGATAAAATAATTAAAATGCAACTGTATAAAAATTAGCTAAGTTTTCTAAAAATTGGCTAAAAATAAAGCTAACGCATGTGCTAAGGGAACGCCACTGTATAAAAGTGAGACTTCATCCGACTCTTAAAAACCAGCAGCGAGGGTGCTTGTCTGATCATCATTGGAAGGTCATTCCACAGCTTGGGGGCCAAAACTGACAAAGCCCACCTACTCTAGTCGAGCATTTTACTCGTTGATTGACTAGTAAGTCTTGCTGTGATGACCTAATTGCACTGGAAGCCAGTGCAGATTGGCCAAAACAGGCGTGACGGGTTCCTGCTTTCTGGTGCCAGTCAGGAATCTAGCAGCACCATTTTGAGCAAGCTGGAGCCAAGCAAGTGCATCCTTGCTAACTCCAGAGTAATAAAAAAGTAATAAAAGCATAGACTACAGTCTCTATGTGGGTTTGCAACACTAGCGGCATGATCCTGGATAGGCGGCGAAGATGGAAAAGCAAAAGCGTACCACTCCATCGATGTGAGCTTGAACCAGAGCGCATGCGGGAAGATTCCTCCGACTGAATTCAGTCGGAGGAATCTTCCTGCTGATCTGAATCTGATGCGGCTCTCTGTGCTTGTAAAATAATGGATGGATATTTAAATAAAATGCTTTATATTTTATATCTGTAAGTCAATTCTATGTAAAGATTGTCTGCGTAAACCTGAACAGGCCCAACCCGGTCTTACTGTGAGACCGGGTTGACGCGTCACGCTTGTGCGTAATCATGTGCGCTGTCTGAGCTGAAGAGGATGTGAGATTCTGGGATTCTCCTCAGACAGCTCCTGGATGCGTCGCCACATTGGAGACAGGAACAAGCGCTATTCAGCCAAAGTTTCATAATCAGGGAACATTTTCTAAGTGACAAATCTCTCTGAGAGACAGGGTTTGGAAAACACTCGCTTCAGTGGGAGGAACCTTCCCGCATGCGCTCTGGTTCTGCGATGCGCTCCGAGCCAATCTCCACATCTTCAGCTCGCTGTGGACCTTATGTAGTACACGCTGACAGTGAGCTGCGCTGAGCAGTGTCCAGCTCAGATGTTCAGATGGGAATCTTTTCTTGAGTGATTTAGCTACATCTGCGATTTGCGTAGAATAAAATATCAGTTCGTCTGCATGCGTCGGGGTAATTCTTTCTATTCTTTCTCCGTCAAAATAAACGGTCAAATACGGGAACTGTCCGGTCAACAGTGCGCCGTCATCTCCGTGACGGTAAATGAGGGAAAAACAAATTGATCGGATCCTGCACGTCTTTTAACACATTGGTCAGGATTGACGCACTTTGTTTTCATTTAGTTGGTTAAAAAAAAGTTGGGCTCGGGCTCGGGCCAGAGAATCCTGAAAGCCTTTTCTGGCCGGGTCGGGCTGGGGCTCCACCCCCTCGGGCCGGGCTGGACACGGGCTCAGATTTTAGGCCCGTGCAGGGCTCTACTCCCATCTATCCCGGAACAGATCCACCTTCATTTAGTATAGACGTCATCTGTTCCATTACACATATTTGTTAAATTCTCTCTTTCCATTCTTTTATAGTTGGGGGATTCACCTCCTTCCATTTTACCATTATAATTTTCTTTGCTGCCAATAATAAAATAAGGGCAATGTATCTTTGGTCTAAGTTTAATATTTTGCTTGATGTAGCCCCCAACAGATAGAACAAAGGGTGTGAAGGTAACTCCTTTCCCAGAATTTTTTCCAACTCTTCCTTTATGTCTCTCCAATATTTAAGAATAATTGGGCAATTCCAGAATATATGGGAGAGTGGTCCCCCACCTCCCCACAGTTCCTCCAGCAAAGTGGAGACAGGGCATCTTTTGCAAACCACGATACAACTAGGGGGGTAAAAAAGTACCTAGTTTTTATCTGCCAATCAAATTCCTTCCACATTTGGCTGTTGATCCCCCTATGAATTTGTCTACATACATCTTCCCACTGTTCATCTTCAATTAGTATATTTAATTCTAATTCCCATTTCTCCTTTATATAATTTGTATCATGTGTAAAGCCAAGGAAGAAGCTTCTATATAGATTAGTAACATAGACTTTTGCTTGGGATTTTTTTCCTATGCGTGAAATAAAATATTGTTCTATTGCATTTGGCTGTTTATTAAGTCTTTCTTTCTCTCTATGATTCATGATATAATGCCTTATCTGAAAATATTTATACATGTCGTTCATGGAGAGGTCGAATTGTTCCCTGATCTGCGAGAATGTTTTAAGGTCTGCTTCTCCAAACAATTGGTCAAGAATAATAAGATCATTATTCGCCCATTTTTTAAGCCCTGAGTCTAATTTGGATGGGGGAACCCGATGCTATCCATTATTGGCATGGCCCAGGAAATAGAACCCTTGTCATTCAGCATTTTCTTTATTTCCCTCCAGACCCTCAGAGTATGTTTTATAATTATTTTTCTATTTTTACTTTCTGAATATCTTTTGGGTTAAGAAATGGTAAGACTGACAGTTCTGTACCTTTAATTTCACCTTGTTCTATCTGGTTCCATATTAGGTCCCTATCTCCCTCCAGCCAGTGAACTATCGCTGTTAATTGGGCTGCCCAATAATCCCAGTAACTAGTTATAATGTTTTTGAAACAAATTCAACCTAAAAAAACCGCACTTAAATTTCTACTTTAATCATAACTACTCGTTCCATTTTTGGGGTAAAAATGGCCTGCATTTGTAGCACCTTCCTAGGGTTCTACAACCCCCCAAAAAGCTTCACAACACAGTCACCCACCCATTCACACAAATGTAACCACAGATGCTTTGGGGTGCACTGACAGACTACAAAACACAGGCAACACCGTTTCCTCCGACTTCCACCTGCAGCAAAGTGGGTTAAGTGTCTTGCCCAAGGACACAACAGCATTATCTGGTTGGAGCCGGTATCAAACCTGCAACCTTCCAAATCCTGGACAACCCGCTCTACCTCCTGAGCTGCTGCTGTCATATAAATAATACATGCAGACACAGGTAATGCTACATTTGTGGTGGTGTAAGAGTGAAACTGAAATAGTGTTTTAATGGGAGCAGAAACATTTTGGGTAACTCAGATTAGTCGTTAGCTCATCTGTCCTGTCATAACAAATATTTGTTTTGCCAGACTGAGGCTTTTCAAAGCTACAACAGGTAAGACAACATTGATGATAACCTTTACAAAGAAACTCACTTTGGAAGATCTGGACTATCGGGAGCCTAAGCCACACCCATCTACTTTCGGACCGTGAGTTCCCAGAAATAAGAAAAATTTGTTAGAATTAATGGGGCTATAAAAGCTCATTTCTGATCCTGGTTGTCATGTGCCATGTTGTTGTATATGATGTATGTGAATTTTAAACACACGTTCTGACGCCAAGAAAGTGCTTGTTTTCAAACTGCGGCAAAAGTTATTTAGATTTTGTGTGAAGAAACGTATATGACTACATGTGCGTCTCACCATTGTGACATCATCGAACCAGACGCGGAGAAGAAAATAGCGAGCTTCGAATCCTTTGTCCAGAACAGACGGAGCATTAAACATGGAGAAAACCACTATAAATCAGGCCATGTGGTAAGTAGCAGCTACGCTGGGGAAGAAAAGATCCTGCGTTGTCATCATACATGCAACATCTGATATGTAGTCATTTGGTTAACGAATTTTTACAACCTAATAAATCTCAAAGTACTTGACATAGTTGAAACTCACATCATTTATTTTCATTTAAACTCAAGTACAACCAATGCGTGATTCAGGGCATAAGGCAAAGTGGATTAGAAAATAGCTTTTATGACCCCATTGATTCTTTTCACGTAAACGGAAGAGGCACAAAAAGTTCACCCCCCTCAGAGGTGTCATAACTGTGCACTAGATCTATTAAACTTAAAATGTGTTTTGATCTAGGCTGTAAACATGTTTATTCCTGCTATGAAGTGTTCATTTTTACCATTGGAATCAATGGGAGCTTGTTTCTTTCCGATGCCAGCCCCTAGTGGATGAGGGAGGAACTGCATGTTTTTCACTTCCTGGTTGGCTTCAGGTCTGGGGAGGGGGGGGGGGGGGGGTCTGGGCCCCTCAGGTTCCTTCTTTCACATACTAGTCAGTCATCATGACATCACTCAGATTCAGATTTCAGATTTATTGGCCAAGTAAAATTACATTTACAAGGAATTTGTCTTCGGTAGATGTTCGCTCTCTAAAACATACAACAACCACAATAAATGAGTATAAAAATACCTAAAAACACATAAGAACATGTATACCCACACACATGTTCATTTACACACACGCCTTTATATATATATACATACGCACACGCACACGCACACACACATACACACACACACATATCCATAAGCATACTGAATTAGTATTAAAAACTATAGTAAAAGGATGGTAAAAGAATCTACAGATTCAGGAGAGAAATGGCTGAAGGAAAGAAACTGTTCTTGTGTCTGGTAATTTTTGTGTACAGTGATCTATAGCGTCTGCCAGATGGGAGGAGATGGAAGGAGACTGCTCAGGGACTGCTGCTGCTGTTATCGTAAAACAATTATTACAAATAAGTGAAAACCAAAAACATGGAAGAATCTAATTTCAAATCAGAACTTCCTGTTAGCATAGCAATAAACAGATCCTGTTGTTCTCATTCAAAATGTTTTTTTTAACCGTGTCCTGTCTGGCTGTGAAGCAAGCAGAATTGATGTCTGAATGCTGGTAACAAGCCTTACAGATTTATTCTCAGGTGGAGCATCAAAGCGTCTGCTTTAAATGTCACGCCTGATACTTAAAACTTTATTGTTATTGTTTTTGAATGCTTTGTAATTCCGACCAGACACGGAGTCAGAGGTGAAAGAGAAAGGAAAAGACAAATGGTGGGAAGAGAGAGAGAGAGAGAGAGAGGGGGGGGGGGGGGGTTACAAAAATAAACAATAATGAACAAGAGTCTGCTTCTAGACCTGCAGAAAGAGAAGAGCAGAAAAAAATGAGACACACAACAATACAACAGGAGCAAGCTATCACTGCGTCAACCTGATGATGAAATATAAAATCAACATTGTTTAACTGAACAATCACACGATAATAAATCACAGTTCATTTAGTGGCAACGACAGCCTTGAGACAAGTGTTGAACATGCCCAAGCCCATACTTTTGAGAGCACCATGTGAGCACCTGTGTGTGTACACGCGCTTGTTTATGTAAGGTTTCTCTATAGGAGCGTCCAACAGAGAGTGTGAGGGACCACAGATCTTCCCCCAAAGATGTGTAGGACACGGGGGGAGCTCCAAGTCCCAGAGATCCAGGCGCTGCCCCAGAACACAGGAACCCCAAGGAGACTGCAACCAGAAAGGCCCCCTGCCCCCCTCGAGAGGCGCAGAGGATCGCCCCGGGGGGCCACAACCAGCAGCCGGCAGAGCCCCGGGAGATATCAGCGGCAAGCCCACAGGCACGCCCGCCGCCTCCCACCCCCTAGCCGGCCGAGCCCGGGACCCAGCGACCCGGGACCCAGGGGCGACCACCCCCGCCGGGGACCCAGCAGAGCCCAGGGACCCAGACCCCACCAGGCAGCCACCGGGATTGATCAGGCAGATGCCAAAGATCTTAAACCCCCTGACCCGGGAGCCACGAACACTCAGGCAGACCAAGGCACTCATTCAAAATGTTAAAAAATAAATTCACCACCCCCCCAAAAAAAAGTATACTTTTGTCTTTTCTCCAAAGTTCAACAACAAAAAATCTAAACATTTTGGAGATTTTAAATTGATCCCCTTTTTTATTAAAAGCACTTCATCAGTCCAACAAAATGAAATACCTTCACATGTTCACACCTAGAGGCCTGTATTTGCATATATTTTCAAACAAGTATCTACTAAGTCCAAGGTACAGAAACACGTCAGGTAAACAGCTAATTTTATTGTATTTACCACAACTTTCAATATAGCCTAGTAGTGGGAAGTGAATAAAACAAACCGATTCAGAACAAAATTCTTATATTTTAAAAAGGGAGTTTATCTGACTGAAAACTATAAACGCTGATGAATGAATTACAAATCTGACTGTGCTAAAGGGCCTAAACAACACACTGATAAGGCAGTTCGGCCCAAACTCTGACCCAAAAATCATGCGTGTAGGCATTTTAAAACACGTGAGACGGTACCCAGAGCTGCAATAAACAGCTCCTTCGGTGTGTGTGTAGCTTTAGATTAATAAGCAATCATACATGAACTGTTACTTTGAGGACATTCCAAGAAAAAAAGCATCAGAACAAAGAATGTCTAAGAAAATATGTGAATATAAGAAAAACAGCCTTGTTGGTTTTTCATTTTCTTGGAGTTGCACTTAATGATTGGTGCACATTTCTTCTAATTTGTTGAAGTTTTTTGACAAAACAACAAATCTAAAGATAAATATTTAATCATAATTTCCATAAACAACCTGCAAACTGAAGTCCAGCTAATTCAGAATCAGAGATGCTTTGAGAAAATATTTCAACAGTAAAAAACAAAACTTTATTTATATTCAGTCTTAAATGATGTGGAGTGAAGCTGTCACAGATAAAACGAGGCACGGAAATCTCTTTCCCAGTTCTTATCTTTTTGTTCTTTTCTTCGAGCTTCTTCCTTCCTCTGACCTTTCTGTCTCCTTTCGTCTTTGTCTCTCTGCTGTAGCTTTACAGAATCTCGATCCCCAGCTTGGAAGTGAGTGACTTTAGCTCTTTTTGTCTGCCCATACCCCAGGCCCAACTGGTCTCTCTTCAACACAGTAGCCACAGGTTGTTGGGCCCCCTCTCCCTCTGGTCCGAGGCCTGTGCCGGGCTTCCAGCCGTTACGAACCATCATCTTGTAGCTGTTGCTGGAGGGTGGGAGACAGTAGTAGGGGGTGGGTGGAGGACGCCTCAGACTGAACTGATGCAGGGTGGAGGACAGATGAGACTCATGGCTGCCCCTGTACTCGCTATGACACACATCGCACCACTCAGGCTGGAGAGAGCTGAGGAGGCATGGGTCAGAGAAAACAAAAACTGGTGTTAACACCACTTCTGATGATCATTAAGTCCTTTACCACTCTAGCTGACACTTGGTGACTATTTTCCTCATGAGCATATGAATAAACGTCTGCTAACCTGCTGTCAGACTGTGTCTCTCGCTGTGGACTCGTACCATAGCTTAGCAACTCCTCCAACACATCTTTGTGGCCCGCTGAGAAAAAACAAGAAACACACAGAAAATAAGGTTAGCCCAGCTTTACAGATCAAAACACACAGATGAACCATAACAATATGACCACTAATAGATTTCAGGTCGGAAGTCAGTCCCTACCTGACCTCCAGGGTCTCCACTTGTTAATCTAAATCAGGGGGCGGCAACTCGCAGCTCTTCCATCCATCTGATGCGGCTCTCTATGCTTGTAAAATAATGAATGGATATTTAAATCAAATGCTTTATATTTTACTGCATTAATTTTATATCTGTAAGTCAATTCTAAATGTAAAGATTGTCTGCGTAAACCTGAACAGGTCCAACCCGGTGTTACTGTGAGACCGGGTCGACGAGTCACGCTTGTGCGTAATCATAGGCGCTTTCTGAGCTTAAGAGGATGTGAGATTCTGGGATTCTCCTCAGATGGCTCCTGGATGCGTCGCCACATTGGAGACAGGAACAAGCGCTATTCAGCCAAAGTTTCATAATCAGGGAACATTTTCTAAGTGACAAATCTCTCTGAGAGACCGGGTTTGGAAAACTCTCGCTTCAGTGGGAGGAATCTTCCTGCATGCGCTCTGGTTCTGCGATGCGCTCCAAGCCCCTCTCCACATCTTCAGCTCGCTGTGGACCTTATGTAGTACACGCTGACAGCGAGCTGCGCTGAGCAGTGTCCAGCTCAGATGTTCAGATGGGAATCTTTTCTTGAGTGATTTAGCTACATCTGCGATTTGCGTAGAATAAAATATCAGTTCGTCTGCATGCGTCGGGGTTATTCTTTCTATTCTTTCTCCGTCAAAATAAACGGTCAAACACGGGAACTATCCAGCCAACACAACACAAGCCCTGCTTTTAACTGTTGTTTTCTTGTGAAAATTGTTGCAAAGAGATATAATTTAACTTGATTAACACCAGAGCTGCGCACTGCGCCGTTATCTCCGTCACTGTAAATGAAAAAAAAAATTGATCGGATCATTTTCTTACTTTCTCCACCTACAAAGTTTAATTACAACAATCAAACGTGACAGAGCCATGATTTGTATTCTGAACAGTTAAAACATGTTTTAAAAAGAAACGTATGACAAAAGTGGCACCTGCTCAGTAAAACCACCAACAGGGTGAAAAATATTAAAAAACTGTAGGCAGAAACGGGCTACAACTTCTGGATCCACTTATACCAATCGTTTTATTGACTATCTTCTGTTGAAAGATAAATCTGACGTACACGAGCGACTGATATTGGCTGCTGTCACCTGTTGTGACTGGTTTAAGCAGCTCTCTGCTGTGGCTCCCAGAGTTTTCTTTACTGTGGGAAACAGGTAATAATGGCTCTTCGATGGGAAGAGGTTGCCGACCCCTGATCTAAATGAACACCAGTGAGACATTCATGTGGAAAGACACCCAAATCACAGAGGTTCTACCCAACAACTGACTGTGAAACTGGTGCCAGATACCACAGCAGAGCTTCAGAAGTATCTCCATGTGTGGTCATATTGTCACAGTGGGTGATTGTTTTCATAGAGTTGCACGATGGCACCTTCCAAAGCAAGGTCCTGAGCATCCCTGCCCTGCATATCAACCACACCGACCCAGGCTGCACCATGACTCAGCAGCAGCCTCACTGCAGCTCTTTGTCCTGACCAGCTGGCACACATCACAGCTGTCCAAAGAAATGTATCCTGGAGGAAAAAAAAAAACCAAAAACACAAGCTCATGAGGTAAATCTACGAGCACATTTTCTGAGTTGAACAAGGAAAAGTATAGGGTAGCATACCTGGTAGTTTATGTCGACCCCCCTGGAGAGCAGATCTTTGAGGCCAGAGACATCCCCCTCCTGAGCACAGCGCAGCAGTCTGAGACCCAGCAGCTCCATGGACCTTTCTGAGATGTTCAGCTGCCTTCTTTGGTTACCACCATGTTCGTCAGATGTTACTGTCTGCACCACAGACTCAGCTTGAGCCTGCTGCCCTTGCACAGCTCCAACTCTCCTTCTTTGTCGTCTTTTTTGCTCTCTGATCCGACAATCCCTGGATTTAGCTTCTTGTGTTTCGTCATCTTTCATCAGCTCTTCGTAGAACTGCCTGGCCTCTTCTCCGCTGAGTCTGGGTCGTGCTTTGGAGCTAGAATACTTTTGGGTTCTGATAGTGAAAGCATCCTGCTTACTGGCAGGGATAAAACCTAAAGCAGCCATTAGGACTTCAGGTGTACTCCAGTTTCAGGAAGCTAACTGTAACCTAAAGAGCTTGATACCAGTCATTGTTAAAGTTTGTTAGCTGGGCCTAAACGACTCACAAACAGCGTAACAGAGTTACTATGAGCTCATCCTCTAGGAACAAAGAATAGACCAAGTAAGGTAAATAAACAACGCTGTAGCAACAAGCTAACTTTAAGCTAATCTCAGCACCAACGCTGTCACTTAACGCCGGGAAGCTAACGGATACTTCATGTACCAGACCAATGCCCAAGTAGTTACAGAAACAATACACGTAAAAAAACAAGTCGAATAACGCAAAAGCACGTAATTGATCACAAAACATGTACCCTCTTATGCTAACGTTGCTTTTAGGTCTCCAGATGCAGGTTGACTGACACAATGGCTGGTCGGTGCTGCCACCTATCGGCCTGGACGGATAAAAAGCGACTTTTAGATCTTCAGCCAGATTTGTTTAGCATCACCGACTGCAGATCAGGCAAAAACCTTAAATTAATTACATTTCAGCTTAGATGAACTTAACCAAACGTTCAGATTTTTAGTTGTGATCATTAAAACACATTTTTTAATGGCTGCAGTGCATTAAACATAAACTGCATTAACCTCTTTATTTGCATGCATACCTTTAGATTTCTTTATACTATTCTTCATCTGATTTCTGCATCTGGATTGTTTTTGGAGATCAACTCACTGAACAAGATTTAAATAACTATCTGCTGCAGGACACAGCAAGATATCTTTTGTCCTACAGCACCCTCATGTGTACAAATGTGGAAATTATACTACTAAATCTAACATGAGGCTCATCCAGCTTTCATAAAAGCTTCAACAAATTTATTAGCATATTTTAATTTAAATTTTTGATCAGCAGAAAACTAAACACTGATAGTCAGTCATGCTGAAAAAAAACCTCCTTTAAATGTTGATTTAGTTGTGATTGCTGAATAACGTGATACATGACATGAACGGTGTTGTGTCGTGAATAACATACAAAATGTCAAGTTAGACGTTCGTAGAGTAAATAATTTTTATTTTCATAGAATAATTTTTAAGACCACAATACACTTTAGATCAGAGGTCCCACAAAATTATGAAAATGCTGAAGAAAACTAAAGTAGTGTTATAATAATGACTCTAAAGCTAAATCGGTTCACACGATCGTGTATCTAGTTAGCAGGATGAGTCAATCAGACACAAAGCTTGAGAAGAAAACAACAAGTACAGGATCAATACGGATGAGCACCACAGATCAATAAAACCAGCTTAAGCCGCTTTTGTGTTTGTGATTTTCTGGGTGATCTAATGACTTAATCAGAATCAGGTTTTACAAATAAGAACGTAAAAACAAATGTGTAAATGCTAAAAACACAGAAAAATGTTGTGATGCTTTGTTTCCAGTACAACAGTGGCTGCTTCTCATCAGCAGCAAGTTTAAGCCCACAACATTTGAACTCGTTCACTATTCATCTAAAGCAAAATGTAAGAGAACCTCTACGCCCTTCACCTATAAAAAATAACCATGGATTAAATGATTTAAGTATGGCGAGATCATGCATTCAATTTGGTTAGACGTCAAAACAAAACAAAAAGTCCACAAGTGTAACTATCATCTAAAAGCTGATAATCATTACAAGCATGCAGCACCACCAGTACGCCCAGTACAAAGACACAACTGTAGTTATATGTCATCATTAGTGGTATTTTCTAATGGATGGTTTTTACTGATGTGTCTGTTTCTGTCCCCCGTCTGTGTGAATGTCTGTCCACAGTGAGGACAGGAAAACGGCCTCTCGCCCGTGTGCGTCCTCATGTGAACGTTCAGCTTGTCTTTGCTAATAAAGCGCTTGCTGCAGCAGGTGCACGCGTACGGCTTGTCTCCCGTGTGGTAACGCTGGTGCATCTTCAGCTCCGTCATGCGGCCGTAGCTCCTTCCACACTGGGGACAGTCGTAGCTGGGAGGCTCGTCCATGTGCTGTCTGCTGTGCAGTCGCAGCCCACTATTGGACCTAAAGCGTTTACTGCACTGTGGGCACTGGAAGGGCTTCTCCCCAGTGTGGATGTGGATGTGCAGCTTGAGACTGGCGGCCGAGGCGAAGCCGTTCCCGCAGACGGAGCAGAGGTGAGGCCTCTCCCCGCTGTGGATGGTCAAGTGGCGCTCCAGCTTGTTCTTGTTTAAGAACGTTTTACCGCAAATGGGGCAGGTCTGCGGCTGCTCTCCCTCGTGTGAGCTCATGTGCTCAGTCAGCTCCAGCAGCGTGGAGAAAGCGTTGTCACAGCGAGTGCACGAGTAGGGTCTCTCCAACTTGAACTTCTTGTGCTTTAAGCAGTGTTTCTCTAGATCTTCCTGCTCCACAAAGGATTCTATACAGCAGCTGCACTGGTAAGGCCTTTCCACGGTGTGAGTCCGCAAATGATATTTCAAAGCTGTTAACTTCAGAAAGATGTTGTCGCAGTGGGGACACTTAGTTTCCCGCCTGTTGTGGACCTCTACGTGTCTCTTATACAGAGAAAGCTTGTGGAAGTATTTGCAGCAGAACGAACAGTAATACTGCTCGTTCTGGTGGCTTTGCTCGTGCTTCTTTAGAGCATACTCCACCTTGAACTTCTTCCCACAGGTGCTGCAGTTGTATGTTTTTCGATGAACTTCCATGTGGCTCTCCAGGTCCTCTGCGGTTGAGAAGGTTGCATCGCATTTTGGACAAGTCCCGCTATTTTCCTTTGCGTGAATCTCAAGGTGTTTGTTGAGGTCCTCTGGGAAGAAGAAGTTCTTATGGCAGTCAGGGCAGGTGTAACAATCAGCATTGGCAGCTCTGCGATGGCTCATTAAGTGTCTTTTCAAATGATACATGCGATTGAACTCTTTGTTGCATTCGCTGCACTTAAGGCTTCGAGGACCGACCTCAACCTTGCGATGCAGCTTGAGATGCTTTTCAAGTGCTTCCTTCTCTTTGAACTGTTTGTCACAGGCCAGACACGTCAGACCTTCCACAGCATGGGCCTTTTTGTGAGATTTCAGAGCCACCCAGGTGCTAAAACTCTTCCCACATACAGGGCAGACGTGCTGTCCGAGGTCATGCTGGACCCTCACGTGTCGGGTCATGTGGTAGGACTGGCTGAAGGTCTTGGAGCACACTGGACAGGTGAAGGGTTTCTCCTTTGTGTGGGTCCTCATGTGTCGAGCCAGTTTGGTTGGACCATTGAAGCTCTTGCCAACACAAATGGGACAAAAATGTCGTTTTGCTTTGGTTGGTGAGGCCTTTTCCTTCGTTTTACAACCATCTTTCCTGGTTTCAGCCTCATCAGAGTTGGAGTCTTCAGTCGAGACCTGGTTGTCGGATTCTTTGTCGTTAGAATCAGCATCACAACAATCTGCCTTTTCATGAGGCGTTTCTTCAAACTTCACTTCAAGTCCACCAGCTTGCTGATCATTTTGACCCTCTGACTGAGGAGATGACGCATTCGTGTGTGACTCAATGTGACTAGAAAGGTCCTCGATGTTGGTGAATTTTTCTTTACAATGTAAACAGAACAGAAATTGCGTCGTGTGCGTCTCTTCGTGTTTCTTTAACTCAGCAAAGCCTTTGAGGCTCTCCCCACAGGTCGGGCAAATGTAATGGCCCCCTGTGTGCTGGTTCCTCACATGTCGGGTCATGTGGTAGGATTGGCTGAAGGTCTTCGAACAAATCGAACAGGTGAAGGGTTTCTCCTTTGTGTGAGTCCTCATGTGCCGATCCAGTTTGTTTTGGCCTCTGAAACACTTGTCAACACAAATGGGACAATAATGTCTTTTTGTTTTAGACACCAAGGCTGTTGTGTTCTTCTTCTTCTTCTTCTTCCCCTTCTTCTCATCTTCACATTTGTCCCCAGAATCAGAAGGGGCAGCTGGAGCCACATCTGTTGCTGTGTCATTCATTTCATCTCTCTCGGCTTGAGTCTTCTGAACTTCTGTTGAAACCGTTGGGTTGTTTCGGTGTGACCTGACATGATCGCGAAGCTCATCGTTAGTGGTGAACCTTTCAAAACACTCTGGACAAAACAGTTCTTGGTGCTTGTGCATCTTCCTGTGCTTATGCAGCTCATCAAAGCTCTCGAGGGTCTCCCCACAAATAGGGCAGACGTACTGGCCCGCCGAGTGCTGGTTCCTCATGTGTCGGGTCATGTGGTAGGACTGGCTGAACGCTAGGTCACAGACCGGGCAAGTAAAGGGCTTTTCTTTAGTGTGAGTCCTCATGTGTCTGATGAGCCTGTCTTGAGTTTTGAAGGTTCTGTTGACACACACAGGACAGTAAATGGGTTTTCGTTTCATCGAAGAAAGGTCAAAGTCTTCGTCGCCACCGCTGACTTCTTCTGGATCAAAATCGCTGTCTGTGCTGCCAACGTCCCCTTTCACGGTGTCTGATGGCAATGAGGCGTCTTCATAATCCCACGCTTCATCCAGATTATCCTCAGCTGCAGGCTGTGATTTACCCTCATCATCATCACTATAATAGAGCCTATCCTTGCTGTAGTAGTATTCATCTTGGAGTCTAGGTGGTTTGATTAGGATTTTAGTAACACGAGGCTGCTTTTTATTTTTTTCCTCCCCGCGACGAGGCCGACCTCTTTTGCGCTTAACTTGAACAGGTGGCCCCAAATCATCTCCAATGTCCACGCTGACCTGATGAAAATGAGAGTCGCACGACGCTGTTTCCAGTTCTTTACCAATAGCCAGTGCTGAGGACAGGGTCAGACTCTCTCTCTCCTGCAGCAGCCTCTCTCTGAGCTGCACACTGTTTGTTTTCTCAATCAGCTGCTCAAGTACAAGGGCTTCCTTTAGGTTTCCACAGTCACAAGGCTTCAGCAGCTCCTCCAGAGCGGACACAAACTCACCTACAGTTTCTCCAGGCATCTGAGCCCTTTGGCGGAACTTAAGCCGGTACACCTGAGAGCTCTGGTCAGAGTTGAAGTAATCGGTCAGCACGGAAACGGCAGCTGCATATGTAGTTTCGGCGTGGATCAGAGACGTGAAGACGCGCTCGCCCTCTAGACCGAGGGAGTTCTGTAAAAGCACCAGCTTGCTTGAGTCAGACAGCTCCTTCTCGCCAAGAGCTTGTGTGTAGCGTTCAAAACATTTAAGCCATTTTGTCCAGAGCATGTTGACTTTACCTGGGGCTGGGAGGTAAGGTGGAGGCGGAGACAGGATTATGAGAAGTGGTTCTGGGAGGGGCTGTAAAAGGATGCCCTCTTTTGTGTCCTCCAAATCCATCTGAAACTGTGTGTCACACATCCTGTAGGTGTTCTCACAGGAAAGGAAGCGATTTCTACTTCAAATCCTGCAGAAGTATTAGGATGGGACTAGTCCTGGTGTGTCCTCAAACTCCTAATGCTTCATGTCATCCAGGATAATGTTTTAAAACTGCAGAATAAACAAAACAGATGGTGGTTAGAAGGAACGTTTAAAGAAGGGGACGCTCAACATCAATATTCAGTCTCAAAGGTTTATTATGACTCTAACAATATTATCACTGCTCTACTCTCATTGACAGACACCTTAACTTAATGACAAATCATTCCAGTGTACAACTTAAATACACTCTTATTTGCTTTTACATGCCAATATCTCTTTTGCAGCTAAACTGTGACGAAATATCAGCAACTTTAAATTTTGCAATGAAGCTTGGGCCTTTTTTGAGAAATCTGCTTAAAAATGCTAGAAAATGAATTTTAAATATTAACATTTGTTCTCTAACCACAAGGTATATTCGATTGTTTTGGTCTTTTTTAAAGGAAAATCTTGTGGGATTTGTTGAGATGTGTAATTATCTGTATGTACGTGTCACTGATGAATTGTAAATAGACATGGAACATTGTAAAAAAGTTTGCTTTTGCTTAGCTGCCAGTAAAAATGTATTTTAGGATGAAATCCTCTTTGGAAAAATGCTGCAGCAGCAGCTTCAAACTTCAATGAATTCATCATAGCCCTGCATCTTGACATTAGCTGTACAATGTTTGAGTTTAATAAAGTGAAAAACATCAACTTTACAGACATTTATAAACAGACACATCAGGCGTGGTCTCAAATGGCACAGCTGTGCCAGGTGAACTTGGATTGCAATAACGCTTCTTCCACTGAATAGTTTTTGTTGTTCAACCTTTTCGCCATCTTTGGTAACGTAAAGTCATTCAGTGACAAAGTTTTTTGAACGTTTTTGAAATCACGTCTGTAAAAATATGCTACGGGCATTAGCTTCAGCTCCATTACGCACGAGAGTATCTCAGGATCCCGTTGGACTATTTTAGTGATTCAACCTCTGAGCCAGGACTGGGTGATACGGCCTAAAATCAGTATCACGATATATTGAGGATTTCACCTCGATAATGATGAATGGACGATGACTACAGGTATGCGCAGAGACAAAAGTTGTCCACTAGGGGGGGAACTTGCCGTCTGAGATTTTTTAAAGACTTTTTTTTTTTACTATGACACGGATTATGACCATAAACTAGCAAAGGCAAGACTGACTTTACACTTTTGACGTCATGACATTAGCTTTATTTTGATGATGCGTTAGCAGTTTCCCCTGTGAGTTTTGCACTTGGATTCATTAAGCCGGGCGTACACTGTGCAACTTTTTCACTTTTTTGAGCCGATTTTCCACTCGTGCGAGAATCCACAAGATCGGGGCGAGTTTTGCGGTGAGCGTCGTGTAGTGTACAGGGGGTTACGAGAGGCGATTAACACCACGTGACCAACTACCGATCAGCAATCGTGAGCTCGCACGGACTTCTGGCGTGTTTAATATCTTGCTCGTCCCTCGTGAGGGTATCGCACTGTTGAAGCGGCGCTGCGAGCAGCTGCGACCCAAAATGTATCAGAACCGCTCACTGCGCATGCACAATCATGCATCAACACTGTTCGCCCGCTATTTCCCTAATAACACACGCTGTTTGTTTTAATTTCTACACGTTTTTTTTACTCACAAAGATTGTCAAGACACATTTGTCCTGTACCAGAATGTTTCACCTATTTTGTAATTTGTATTTTGTAATTTGAATTGCTTTTATTTTTGATTTATTCAATATATTTACCTTCAACTGAACCATGTTCAGCGCTTTGGGCTTCCTGAAAGGGTTGCGGAAGGCGCTTTATAAATAAAGCTTTGATTGATTGATTGAAGAAAGCGTGTTTGTAGTGTTCATGTCAAATTAAACTGATCACAAAACACAGATTTACTTTCTTTATTTCTTTTTCCTCATCCAACCCCCGTAAATCCCTGTGTGTCCTCCTGCAGCACTCCCGAAGGACAACAGGCTAAACAAGACCAAAAAGTCTAACGTGTTGTGTAAAAACTGCTATTTTTAGCATATTTTTAGGGCCGACGTGTTGCTACCAGACGTACAGTGTGAGCGCATGACTCGTGAGATCTGCCCTGCGAGGAAGTCGTACAGTTTGAGCTGAAGCTGAGTGCTACGAGTGAAAAAGTCGCAGTGTCCGCCCGGCTTTAGACTCTTACTGTTAGAAAGAGGAGTCTGGTATTTGTTTAAATGGCTGCTGCTGCACCACGGCTACACCCCCCCCCCCTCCCCCAAGATAAGAACTTTTCCTCAATTACTGCACTAAGAGCAGCAGGGAACACATAAAGAAATTGTTTTTTGCATGATAAAACTGTAAACACAGTTAACACACATCTATCTTAGCAGTGACAGACTGGTAATCATGAGAAATGGGAGGTTTCCCGGTGGCCTGGCCGTTAATCTGGCCCGCTCAGTGATTGCTGACGGTCATAACGTGCATGATATCTAAATGAACAACCTGTCATGCAGCTCATCTGCTCTCCTGATGCTCACACAAATGGAGCAAACTGGGCACAAAGATACCCTCTCCTCTCACTTTGTCGGGGTCTGGCAAAGCGCTGCAGACAACCCCCACCCCAGAGCGCGCTACCGCACAGCACCTTTGGCCCCAGAGGTAAAATGGACCAAGACGGGCCAGGAATGTTGGAGCAGAAAGAAAAGATTGAAAATGAAGAAAGCTCTGGCCACAGATGCATGTGCAGTCTGGCCTCTAGGGCTGCACAATATATCGTAAATATATCGTTATCGCAATATCAGGATGCACAATATGTATATCGCAAAGAACAGATAAATGTCGCAATGAATGGTCAGCTCAAATGTTTGCTACACAGTTTATTCTGTCAGTCAAACGGAAGCATGATGTTTTTTTAACACATCAAATAGAGCTCTTCACCCATTTGGCCAATCGGGTGGGTTCTCATAGGTCAGATGCCCGCCCCCGAGGCAGACGGCACTTAATTTTGATGGTTAGCAAACACCTGATTTAGCTTTGCTCTGCTCTTTCTGCTGATTCTGCTTTTCCCGGGATCCAAGGATTTCATTTTCTTTTTCCCTTTCCTCACATATTTTGCTTTTCTCGTTTTTATGATTTTTTTTATTTCTTTGTTTTTGATTATTTTTATTCCTGAGTTAAGGTTTTATTTATCGCAAGTAATATCGTCGTCGCAATATTAATCACTGTTATCGAATATCTCAGGTTTTCCTAATATCGTGCAGCCCTACTGGCCTCTATGTGATCTTGTTAGGAGAACCAGTTTAAAGTGGAGTTTTTGGGCCAGCATGATGCTGGGTGTGCGGGGTGGGTTGGGGAGGGAGAAACAGCTGCTGTCAGGAACTCATCATGATGATCAGGTTATAAGACTCATATCCTCATTGTGCTTTGGGCCAATACCAGTACCGCAGTCACTTCTAATTATAACCTTTCAGCATACTGGTACTTTTTTTTAGGGTACAGTGTGTACCTGTAAATTTTCCAGGTATTCATTAGTTAAACTCTCTGAGATTTCTGAAAAAATATCTGTTTGTCCTCAAAGATCAGTAATCCACACTCTGGCATGCGCTCCATGAAGGGCTGCATTTTGTGCAAAAGACACATCACTACTGCGAGGAGCACCACGCGTCACCATCAGCTCAGAAAGAGGAGGAGAAAAAAAGAGGTTTCCCACACCGCACACATTCCCGCAATGACTGACAGCAGCATCAGCTGACAAATCAGTGGTTCGATGCTCCGACAGGCAGGTAGATGGAGGAGAGGCGTTTTCTAAACGAAAATATAGATCGTAAGAAAACACAAGAAATAAAATGTCAAAAGAGGAGTGTGCTACACTTGAAAGTGGGCATGATGTTGGAAAAAAACAACAACCTTGTGGTCATAAACATCCAGCTGCTGCTGATGATCATGAAAGAGAAAAGAGCAAAATTCTGACTGGATGTGTACTGGAGATTAGATTTTACAGCAGCCCTGATTATTATTAATGAAATCTCTTGTTAAACACATAAACCTTCACCTCTGACTTATTGACTTTGGGTCAAAGCCTTTCAATCTTTAGTATTATTATTGGTGTTTATATCAATAATATGAGGAAAACATCCATGCATACTGTGTCTAGTGAGAGAGGTTTTATAAATGTAATATATTATAATCATATCATTAGTTGTTGCAGTAGTATTTACAATCATTCAATTTAAGCCAAAACAAGCTGCTAGTCTGATGTATTTCTGGTCATAACAGAGTCAATGCTGCTGCTTACTCAAGCATCTCCAAATGGAGGCTGATCTATGGCACTAGGACACTTGAGTGGTCTGACTGTCATAAGTTCAGCTCAGCTCAGAAGCAGCACAGCATCAGAAGACCTCATTGATGACTTTGCATCCAGAACAAGGAGATGTGTGCATCTGCAAAAGGCTTCTGACATTGTTGAACAAGGCTTTTCATTTAATCTGTTCCGACTAAATAGTAAACCTAAATGACATGAATGATACAGTCATTTAGCGCCCCCCTCTCACCAACACACACACAAACACACTTTTATGTGTCTCTGTTTGTGGTGTGATTCTGCTGACCCAGACATGTAGGGTGTTTCTCAATGTCAAGGCGCCTTGCCTTGCGAGGCGATGTCTTGCGAGGCCAGGCGCCTTGCTTACGAGGACACTGCCCTTTCTTGGTCAAAGAAAACGGTTAAATGGAACAGACTTGCATCACGAGACCACGGCGGTCACATAACGTCCTGTGACACGAGAGACAACGTTATATTTTACACGTATTAGTTTCAATATAAATATATAACGAGACTTTTTAAATTATGTATATGTTTATTAAATTAAAAAATAAGCGAGTTATTACCCGCTAGCCACCAAAGCTGCAACTACTAAGCAACTAACCAACAATAGATAACTTCTTTGCATCTAAAAAAAAAACATTTTAAATTGGCTGACTTACTTTTAAACTTGAAAATTGTCCCTGAAGTAGCTGCTGGCTTCTGATCCGCCATCTTTTTGAAAATACTGTAGTGTGTTGTGGGTAATTTTTGACCAAGGCTAGGCTAAAAGACATCTCCTGTG